GAAATTAGGGATTTTAATAGGTACCTTCAAGAGACGCAAAATAAAAGTTTCATTGAGTTCTTACATTTAATTATGTATGGCAGTAACTTTTCTACAGCACAACATCATATTATGCATAAAACACAAAGCACTGTTGGAGGTAATAAAAAACAGAAGTATGTGAAGTGCTCTGAGTAACAAGAAAAGTAAAGCATGGAGATAAAAATGTGTTCTCAAACTATTAAAATGAAAGATGGAAAAAGTTCAATGACATGTCTACCAAGTAGCTTTCTTTATAGTAATTTTTTTATTGTCTGGATTTGAAACAAATAAAATTCTGAATTGCCTTGCAACAATAGGAACGAACTTTGTGCTTCTTTCCTACAAAGGAGTCAAACATTTCTGAACTTACTAATTGCCACATACTGACGCTGCAATATATTACTAGAACATAGTCAACTTCTAACCTAAAACCTTTGGATCTTCTTGTTCACCCTCAACAGGCATCACTGTCATCAACTTGCAGTCTGAATTTCCTTAGAATGGAAGGAATTCTCTACAACCTTAAATGAAGAGTGTGTATTTTTCAAAGGTATACTACTGCTTACACACATTTAAAGCTAGATGCAAAGCTCACAAGATGAAGGTCTTTGACTACTGCTTACACACATTTAAAGCTAGATGCAAAGCTCACCAGATGAAGGTCTTTGACAAATGTTACGCGAAAAATCAGATTACATGAAACATGTGTGCAACTTTATGCCTCAACGTGTATCAATACAATTAGAAAAAGATGCAATTTTAATAAAACTTCCCAAGGCAGGCTGCACCATCATCTCAAGAAGCACATTAAATCCTTAGGGGACAAAAAAAAACCTTATGTGTGTTGGCAGAAATTGTTTTGCAAGACTTAGGGACTCAACTGAGAAACACTGTATTAATTCTGTGGTGCTAAATCAGCTGTATAAGTATTTTTTGACTGTTGGGCACTGCTGCTATTCCACACCTACAAAAAGGCAAGACCACTGATCTCAGTGAAGCTGAAGCAAGCTCTTCATCTCTGCTCCTGCTACAGGAGGCACTTGAATAACTTTAGCGCATGGACAACACAGGGAAGTCTGACAAACATGCTGTCAATATATTCAGACATCTATATGAAATACTAAGGTCACAGTTGCATTTGTAAGGGAATTTAAAATTTACTAGTGTTCTTTTGTCAGGATATTACAGTGGAAAAAAATCACAGAGCAACAACTTGTTCTTAATGCTATTTTTGATCAGGATGACTCATATCTAGACACATAGAAATACATGGAGAAAGAGGACTGGTTAAGATGGACTCAATATATATTTTGATATTTAAGCTAAACATAGCAAGGTTTGACAAAAGTAGTATCAAAAAATCAAATAAACATTTAAAGTGACCAGAAGTATGCATCTCCATATACAGAAGCCAAAAATGCTTACTCTCTTTGACAGTAACGTTTAATCAATCGGGGGAAGGGGGGGGGGGGGCAGGTCCTGATGATTTTTCCTTTTTAAGTATTATCTTTGCCACAGCTTTCCACTAGAGCTGAACAAGATCTTTACATTAAAAAAAAAAACCAACAAAAACAAAAAGAATCTGTTTGAAACCCATGTCATGCATCAAAACTACATGAATATCCATACTTAACACTGATCTAGAGCTGTAGAACAAGGACAAAATGCCAACTAAATGGCTACTACACCCTTGCATTTTCTGCAATCTGTTTCTTAGTATGTATTAGTGATTTGTCTAAATAAGCTTCATTTATAAACTCTTCAGATAGGTAGTCCAGAATCTTGTCCATGCAGTTAGTCAAGATGAAAATATAAACCAAAACTTTAAAGACTACTTTTAATACTAGGTGAAACACTAGAAAGTTAACTTTCACAGTCAATGTTTTATTATTTGACAGTTAGGTTTTGGTTTCTCTGACTTTCTCTTAAAAAAAAAAAAATACACACCTTTGAATCAGAGTTTCCATTTACTATGTAACTTATCTTTAGAAAATAATCTCTTCTACACTGCACCAACTTGTTACAAAGAAGAGTAACTAGTGCAACACATTTACCAAGGAGACCTTGTGATTCTGGGGAAGTCTCTTCTGGACAAGAGGAAAGCTAGTGATGGACCAGAGAGGTTCTCACAGAAAACACACCTTTCCTCACAAGCAATGCAGAGCTCCCTGAAGCACAGGCTGTGCTAGTAAGTGTCACCTGCCCCCTCCACAGCTCCTTACAAAACAATTGAGTATTTAAAAATCATTCAGCAAGAACTGCTTCCTGGATACAGAAATGATTATTCAACAGGTCTCTTCAAATTGGGAAAATGTGCATGCAAAAAGTGGATGAACACCCAATGAATCAGTGCTAGACAAATTCCTAGCATGAAGGATCCTTTAGTTATTATACAAACTTCAGACACATGCTGTTTCAAACTGTAGTCAGAAGTCAAGATATGGTTTATGGTAACATCTTGCAATCAGAAGCCTGGGTTACAAACAATAGCAGAGCCCTAGTAAGTGATTTTGCATTAAGCTTAAAGAAAAAAAGAAAAAAAAAAGAAAAAAAAACAAAAACAAAAACAAAAAAAAACCACCAAGACATTTTCCCTTTCACAAAGCATTTCTTACAGTGTCAAAATGTCAACATTTTCTAGTGCAAATTAATGCCATTCAATCCTTAAAACTGCACCTACTTCAACTGGGGCAAAGTGCAAACTAGTACCTCTTTGAATTCTCAACAGCTTCCTACAAAACAGCTGCTTTTTCTTAAAAACATAATCTTCCCCCAAAACACAGAACAAATGTGGGAATAAACCACTGAAACACTGCTTTCCATGAACCTCTTTATGAAACTAAGGTGACTACTGAATTCATTCAAACCTAGTCAAAGTAAGTAGGAATACACTGTAGAATAAACTGTCAAAAACCAAGACAGTCTTGTTAATATTACCTGTGTACATGCACGTACTATGCACTTCTATTACATCAGAAAATGTGTTATTCAAATGTTATGTGTAGCCTTCTAGGAAACAGATATTTTCTTATCTCTCCAGTTTTTTGTTGGCCCTTACTTGAACTTGACTTACTGGCTGCATCCAAGCAAAATATATCCACATGAACTATAAAATTAGCAACCCAATCCAATTAAAGATATTGGGGTCAACGTAAATGCTCCTGCCAAAAAGGCAAAGAACCAAACAGTCCTACAAACAGAATCTTCTTAAGCAGCGCACTTACTTTAAAAGTCAAAATAAACTTTCTTCCCTATCTCATGTACACTCTTTCCACATTCCAGTGCAGAACAGCCAGAACCAGCCTTTGCTGAAGCTGGCAGAAACAAGAGATCATGCATAAATGTTACTTGTCAAAAGTGTAGATCTACTGATTTGCATGCCTCTTGCCTTGAGAAATAAAGACCTCTGTATGCAAAACAGAGGGAACTGTGTTTGCCTATTAGCAAAGTTTTAGGGAAAGCAGAAGAGACTGCTGCATGTTTCTCCAGTACTGAAAAAAAATCTGGCAAAGTAGGTATCAGGTCCACCATAACAAAACTCTTGAACAGAGGCCAAGTGAATCAAGTCAGAGATATGTTTTCATAAAAACAATGAGATGATGCAGATATATACAAGTAGCCAGCCAATTATTAAAGAAAAATATTTAGAATAAAGGCCAAGATATTCTTTCTTCTAAATTCTATATTCTCAAATTATTCTTTAAATTCCTTATTCCTTTACAACTGTAAGAAAGAAAGTTTGGAGGAAGGAGCTTGGGGTTTTTTTACATACACCATTGAAATAACACATAATGGGAGAACGTGAACTGGCTTTTTCACGCCTCTCAGATTCCCATCCCAAAGTAAACTCATCAGCACAGCTCATGTAAAGCAACCGACCAGCCTACAAGCCTGTCACTGCTCGTTACATCACGACCATTTGCATTGAAACTACGGTATATAACGGTGGGATCCAGTAACTTTTTGCTCAGCTGCGCTGTGCTGACCCGTCGGAGCAGCCCCGCACCACGTGTTCCCGGCATTCCTGACCGTGTCCCTGCACACCGGGGCACCCCGGGGCAACCATGTGCTCCGCCCCGCAGCAGCACCTGCGGACCCCGCACCGCGCTTCCCCTCGCCTCTCGGCAAGGCAGAGCAAGGCAGGGCAAGGCAGGGCAAGGCAGGGCAGGCCTCGCCTCGGGGCAGGCCCCGCCGCAGGCCCGGCCCCCGCTCCGCACGGCAGAGCTGCCGGTAGCCGTTAGCTGCCGGCCGCGCATCAACTTTAACATGTGGGCCGCGGCTTCCATGATGGCCGGGGTGGGCGGGGGGGCCGGTTTGTTTACTTGCAGCCAGAGCCGCCGCCGGCGGCAGCAACAGCAGCAGCGGCGGCAGCGGCGGCAGTAGCAGCATCACTTGAGGGAGGGAGGCGCTGCCATCAGCGGCCCGCCGGCCGCGCTGCTATTCTTAGCGCAGGGGAGCGGGCACACACACACACACACACACACTCACTGGCGCACGCACCGAAGTTCCCAGCGGATAACACCGCTCTCAGCACCGCCATCCCGCCCCGCGGACACGCACCGCACACGCTTGGCCGCGGCAGGCTGGGGGTAGGGGGGTGGCAGAAGGGGGTACAGGTTGGCGCGCGCCCGGCTGGGAGGGGCCGCCGCGTGGGAACCGACGGCCCCGCGCAGGCAGCGCCCCCGGGCGCGCGCCCTGCCCTGCCCCTGTTCCCCCCCCCCACCGCCCCGTTACATAACCGCTCCCCGCCCCGCCCTTCCCCACCTCAGCCCCGCGCCGCCGGCACGGCGACCCCCTCCCACCCCCAGCTCCGGTCCCCTCCCTCCGCTCCCGCCCCGCCGGCAGCGCTAGGCCACGGGCGCCCGCGCCCCCGCCCCGCGCTCCCCGCCGCCCCCGGCCGCGCCGCGCCACCGCCCCGCATCCCCTGGCGCGCCGCCGCCCAAGCGCCCCTCCGCCGCCCGGCCCCTCCCGCCCCGTACCTGCAGAGGCGGCGGCGCCGCGGGCGCTGCTGCGGGGCCGGAGGGGCGGCGGCGGCTTCGGGGGGAGAAGGGGAGGGAGGGCGCCGCTGCCTCCTCCCCTGTCCCCCCGCCGGGCTCGGCGGTCCCTGGCGGCCGGTGTCTCCGCGGGGGCGGGAGGAGGCGGCTCCGGCCCCAGGGCGCTGGCGGCGGCGGCCGCTACATGGAGCTGCGCGCCCCGCTACGCAGGGAGGCGCCCGGGCGGGCAGCGCGGCCGCAGCATCGATGCGCGGGGTCAGGAGGGCGGCGGCGGCGGCTCCCCCCAGCGCACTCACCCCGGAGCCGCCCGGGCCCCGCTCTCGGCTCCTCCCGCCGCCTCCGCCGGGCTCGTTATTGACTTTCAGGAAAACTCCCGACGTCACTGGCTCCCCCCGAGTGTCTCCCCCTTCGTGGCGGCGGCGACGGCGGCGGCATCCCCAGCTCTCGCGAGAAGCGCGGCGGGGACGGGGGGGCCGCCAGACAGAGCGGGGGGAGCCAGACAGAGGGGGGCGGCTGAGGTGAGGGTGGGGGAGGCGGGGGGCCGGCGGCTGCAGGCAGGGAGGGAGTGGGGAGGGCGAGGAGAGGCGGCCCACCCGGCAGGCAGGGGCGGGAGCCGAATGGGGCAGCGTGTCCCGTCCCGCCGCCAAGCCGCGGGTGGGAGCAGAAGGATGGATGCTGGCGGCGGCCGGCACCGCACCGGGGTCTTATCTTTGGGCTGCCTTCGCTCGGGCGGTGCCTGCCAGGCCGGGAGACCGCCCGCCTGAGGCCGGCCAGCAGCCGCCGGGGGTCCTGCCCCTGGCCGGGGGCCGCCGTGACAGAGCTGCCTCCGTCCCTCTCAGGACCAGAAGCGCGGCCACTGGCCCGCTTCCCGCTGCGGCTGGGACGAGCTGCGGCACGTCTGCTGCGCAGACCCGCGCGTTCGGCCCGGGGGTTATGTCTTTTGTTCTCGCACTCATGCATGTACACACTCCCTTGCCTTTACGGCGTACCCGAAGCCGTCCACTTGGCTCTGCAAACTCTTCCAAGAATAAAACTACCAGTTACACCGCGGGAAGCTATACGCATCCCTCACTGAAGCGTGCAGCCGATGCACCAGCCTCGGTGCTGGTAAACGATCTCCAGACTTCGAGTTATCCCAGTGGGTAAATAAACACCTAGAGAAACCGTGTATCACCGTTCATCAGCCCGGGGCTCTCTGACGTTGCGGCGAGCCATACAGAAATTTGAAACATCAGTCCTCCTTTTCCCTGAGCCGCTACAGGGCTTCAGAGAGACTTTTTAGAGCATCTAAATAATCATACGAGTTGGCACAGGACTGGAAAGTTGCCTCCGGGGGCAGTGAATCCTTTCCCTGCTGCGGCAGGCAACCACACCAATAATCCCATTCATAAATATGCTGAGTTTCCTCTCAGAAGTTTGCCGCACTGTTCTGACTAGCAGGCTGCAGCCTAAGCTCGCCGTACCCCTAATTCTGAAGAAAAGCAAGACTTATTTATTATTTGATTAACACATCTTCTTGAAAAAGCAATTAAAAAGGACCTTGCCAAGTGTTACTTCCTTTCCCAGAATTTACGGCTTGGTCTTCCTCTTTCTCAGAAACACTTTACTAAAGTGAGTATCTTATCAACTATCAATATTTACAGAGAGCCACAGTGTCAACTATTAAAATACGTTTATTCACTAATGTCTCCTTTGATCGTTGTGTCTATACTGCTGCTGAAAAACTAAAGGTGTAGTTCTTGGAACGTGCCTTCTGTTTGCTGCAATCCCTCCAAAGGACCCGGAACCTGAGGCAGGGTGAAATCTGTATGGGCAGTAGCTGATAGAGTGCCAATCAACCGTTTGGGTGCCAAATGCTGAGTGTAAAATCTGGGCCCACCAAAAGCCGTGGTGTTTGGTATCTGTCAGATTGGGAACTTACACTGAATTCCTGCTATATTAATTCCTGCCACTAACAGTCACAAATTTCTTTTTAGTAAAGTATATTTGTATAGCTGATCATCCTAGTTTATTTCTCGTAATTTGCAAAAGCCACCCGTGATATAATTCTTTTCTGATGACAATAAGTTTGCTTACGGTTATAAACAGATACTTGGTGTAAATTGTCTTGGAAACTCTGACATAAAACCACATTTGGTTACATTGTAATAAAAATGTAACCTTTGGTTACATTCTAAGAGGGAAAAAAATAAACACTTGCACCTGGTAAAAATGTTTTTGTTAGCAAGGACAACATTTACCTACAAGGAAAGATAGACTTTGACATTTTATTTTGTTGCAAATAGCTGAAAATGAAACAGTGGGCTGAAATCTGTCCTACTGACCTGGAGACTAAACATGCATTTTTCATCAATACTTGGTTAGGATAATTTTGATTTCTCTCTACAGTATGGACAACTATTTATGGGCAAGTCATTTTTTTTGCTCAGTGTGAGTTTAAAATCTGATTCACCATCATCTTCCTCCTTAGAACTCAAATATCACTGCTCTGTTTGGCAGTTCATGGTGACTAGCTACTCCTAAGTTTTTTATCCTGCTTAGCCTTATATATTTATCCCAGTGTTCTGAATATTTTTTTTCTCTTTTTCTTTTTTTTATTTGTATGGATTATTAAATATGCTCTATAAATAAACACTACCATGCAGAAGTGTCTTTCTCTTTTTAAAGCATATAATAACTTTACTGCTTAGTATCTTGCTCCAAGGCTTCAGAATGATTTCTTCTAAGGAGTTAATTGCTGTAAATTGGGCAGAAATGACCCCCTGATTAATAACCAAATAGAAGCATACCTCTTTCAGAAATAACATGGCTGTGATGTACATACTGTGAACATAATGAGGTTGTAGGTTCTGCAGAAATAACATCATTTTGAGATTAATTACAATGTGACATGAATTTAATGAACATATTAACAGCATATGCTAATGAAGAAAGTATTGCAGTTCACGTGAGGACAATACGGCTGCATGCAAATTGCAGGAGAAATAGGAACCTCTGATGTTACATGTTCTAAATGCAGAATCATGAAACAAAGGAGATAAAACTCGTTCATTGTCATCTATACTGGCACCACCAAGAAGGCTGATAAACTTTTACACAATCACTTGTAATCAGGGTTTCAATGGGAGCTAAAGGGACAACCTGCAGATAATCTCTCTAAATCATGTGCCTTCTAAGGCAAAAAAGGGTGTACCTCTTGTTTCACTTAACATGTTTATGTTAAGCATTATCCCTACCAGAGTGATAGGGTCTAAGACTACAGAGATATACCTCATGAAAATAAATAGTTGAATAGTATAGAAGATTCTGCCTGCAGAACACTAGTTCTCTCCTCCTCTATGAATTGCATTGCCTTCTGCTTAATTTCATTCCTTATTCTTCCCATCAGCTAATAAACTTGCTTACATGTAAGAATACTTTCAAAAATATATATGTGTGCACATAACTTGAAGTAGAAGAATTAAAAAAAAAAAAAAGGAAGAAAAAAGAACAGCAGATCAGATGACAGTAAATGGTTTTAAACCCCTATTACTGTCTGCCGTGTTGTTCTTCAAAAACCACGCACATTATCAGTGGAAGCTAAGTGACAGGAGATCAATTAAATTTGCTCCCCATAAATTGATGCTTAAAAATATATTACAGTCTGTTACAATGAAGTTAGGGTGCTGCCTGCAAAAGTTGTGGTTTAAGTATTGCATATATGCATCGCTCTTTAAAAGCTGAAACTTATCTATTAGTGAGCTTATGTTCAACTACTGCAAGGTGTGTACATGTTCAGGTAATACTGATCTGTGACTGGATTCTCTATACTGTCATAGGCACACAGACACTTCAGGACTTTCGACACTGCCATTCAAATTATAACCGTTTCTTGTGACAACTGGATTCCTCACAACAAGAAAGTGTTTATTGTAAAGCTGCAGAATTCAGATAAGACATTTAAGAAAAACATGGGCAGGGGATGTTGAAATCCACTGGATACTGGGAGGAAACAGAATTTACTGTTGTCAGTTCTTTTTTTCTTTTTCCTTTCTATTAGGTTCACTCCTAAAAAACCTCATTGCTGTAATCTCTTTCTCCTTTGTCTTTCTTTGAGTCTCAGTTAATTTATTTTTGGCATTTCTGCCTCTTTGAGGCTGTCTTAGAGGGCAATATCCCACTCCACATCCCTGGATATGTGGGATATGCTTAGATAAAAAACATTAGAGAGTCATTTATACATTTCTTGTATACAAAGAGTTGAGGGTAAAAAAAATGAACTCTAGATTTTGCATCTACAGGCTGTGTTTTGCTATATATACCATCATTTACATGAAACTGCGTGAACATAGATGTCAGTGGCTGCTGGTCTGACCCTTGTTGCTGGGTGGATCCTATGTATACTGTAAAAATTGTCTGGACACAACGTTCTCCCTTCTGCAGATGATCACAGTTCCTTCATGCTTACAGAAGGTACTAATATATAAACTCATATTATTATTATTTTAGACCTGCAGAGTGTAGGTTAACTGTGAATATGCAGTAAAGCAAGATAGCAATAAAGGAATTGCTGTTCTGTCCACCTATATTTTACTGAGCAGCACTATAATTATGCTGAACACAGTAGAGACTTTAGATAAAAGACTGTGTAAATATCCATTGATAGCATTTATTTTAAAGCATATTATTATTGCTTTTGTATTTATTCTCTGAAGATCTAAAGAAGTGTTTTCCTTTCCCCTCTTTCGTGTACTCCCACACACTGGAGCTCTACAAACACAGAAGGCACGTGCCGTGCCCCAGTGACCTTACCCTGCTTTGAAACCAGATATGACAGTAAGGATGACAAACAACTGGAGGGAAGGATGGGAAGAGGGCAGTAAGATTACACAGTTGCACAGTTTAGCTATATGCTTAACTTGATGTATAGGCCTTCAGCTGAACTTGGAAATTTTTCCTCAGTGAGAAAATAGTTTCCATGGTGCACAGATTTATCTGAGGGAGGTCAATCTACTACTGAAGCAACCTGAAAAAAAAAATTAAAATGCCAGCCTTTCTGCCTGAGCCTTTTTCTCCCCCTCTTTCCTATCCTATTTTAATTTCAAAAACACAGATAAAATATGTCTTTGAATAAGATTCTGCAATTACCAGCATACAGTGATTTCTCACACAGAACCTTATCTGTGTCCTGGTCTCACTTAATTGAGGTCAATGAGAAAATGCCAGTTGAGGCTACTTAGGAGGATCAAGTTTGTAATGCATGAGCAAAATCAAAGGGTATAAAGCTTAGAGAGAGAGACAGATTTTTAAACAAATGTCTTCTCTTTGGAGGTTTTGTGAGTAGGGAAATTTTCCCCATGTGGTGTTGAGAGGGTCATGGCTGCCAGAAGAGTTGGAAACAAACAGCT